ACAGGTATCTCTGTTGCTATACGTAGGTATGTTTACTACCAATGTTATATAACGTTCCAGTGTATGAACATTAGAATGTTTCCATTCTTCTGTGAATAACTGCTTTTAAATTTGGAAATTATGAGTAAACTCTACTATCATCATTCCAATAAGAATGTTGACGCTCATACCCACACACTGCTAAGAATTCCTGGGAGCAGAACAGCTGTAGAAAGGTACCCTTAAGGACGTAATGCTGGAATATGAGTAAAGAGTCCATGTTCATTGTCACAAGCAGTGTAGGAAAGATCCCACTTCTCCACATTCTCAGGACTCTGGGTGTACAGGGCGGGCTAGGCACTGGTTTTGTAATTTTGCATTTCTTTGATTATTACAATTATTTTAGATGCTCTTTAAATGTTTACTGATCTGTTTTCAAATATTTGGTTGTTTATTGGTGGTCTGAGTTTTTGGTAGAAATTTGTAGGCATACTTATATGTACAATTTTTAAAATATATTACATGGGTTGCAAATATCTTCCTCCATCTTGTGGCTTGCTTTTGCTACAGGACATAGATTCTTAATTTTAATACAACCAAATGTATTCATATTTTCACTTATAGTTAGCACTTTAATCCTATTTTAATAACTACTTCACATTTTAAATTATGAAAATATTCTATATTCTGAAATATTTTGTGTTTTTATCATGTCTATTTACTCAGTTCATCAGAAAATGGTTTTTGTTTATGGAATGGACAAAATCAAGTTTTCTTTAGCTATCATCACATAAAAGCCCAATTGTTTTAGCCCCATTTGTTTAAAGAAACTTCTTTTGCCTGTTTTTTCATTAAAAGAAAAAGAAACCTTACCTTCTTTTGTCACAAATCTAGTCAGTAGCAGGCCTGTGTTGGTTTATTGCTTTTCAAAATAGTTCCATTGGTCCATCTGTTTATCCTTTTGCTAATTTTTCATTATTTAAGATATTCTTATCTTTCTTAAGTCTTAGTACACAATAATCTATAAATCCTAGCATTTTATGGTTCTCTTTCAAGATTATCTTACCTGTTCTGTTTGTTTTTCTGTACTACAAATGCTAAAACAAGAGTTGGTCAAATGTTTCCCCTACCAAAATGTTTATAAAATAAACATCTGTTGGAAACTGTAGTAAGACACACTGAATTCACAGATGTATGGAACTATCTGAGAACAAATGACATAATGACGATGACTTCAATGATGAATAAAGTATCTTTTTCTTTTTTGCATCCAAGTTTTATGTTTAAGAATAAATTTATGTTTTTGTTTTATTTATTCCTAAGTGTTATTCTCGCAATCTATTAAAAATTATATTTGAAATTTTAATATTCTAGCTGAATATTTTTATATAAAAATGTAATTTATTTTCTTATATTGATTTTGTTATCATCAAAATTGTTAAATTCATTTTATCTATAGATTTATTTAGATTTGTATGACCACAATAATGTTCACTGGTAGCAAAATGTAGTTTTTTGGGGAGGGTACTGGGGATCAAACTCCGGTCCCTGCACTTGCGAGGCAGGCAGTAGAACCACTGAACTAAATTTCCAGCCAGAGCTGTGGTTATTTCAAACCTAAAGCCTTTTATTTCTTTTATCTTTCTCTTTGAATTGGCAAGAACATTCAGCACAATGCTAAATCAAAGTGGTAACAGGCAATATTGTCTTGTTCCTCATCTGTCTTTTTCTTGTTGAAAGAATTCAATATTTAAGTATGCCTCTTATAATATTTTAATAATTATTTACTAGTGTGGAATTTTTTTCTAGCTAGCTAAGCAGTTTTTAAAGTTGGAATGTGAAATAGGAAGAAAACGGCTAAAGGTGTAGGGCAAGTGGGAAGGGTAGGGGAAAGGTAATAAGGGAAAAGAAAAAAATAAGAGAAAATGGAAATAAAATGTTTGTAAATGGGAAGGGGAGGAGGGGGTGACGGGAGGGCAGGGACAAGGGGAAAAAATGAGAACCAAGATCTGTCATGTAGAGGTACAAGATACCAATAATGAATGTAACTGTACTGCATACATAAAATGTACCAATAAACTCAATAAAAAAAATATAGTTGGAATGTATACTGAATTCTATCAAGTGATTTATTTGTATTTTTCAAAATGACCTTTTATTCTGCTAATGTAGCAAATTACACTGATCACTTTTGTTGGCTATGATATATTATGTATTTAAACTCTGGGTTCAGCTTGCTAATATTTGGTTTAGGATTGTTTTCTTCTGTTTAAGGGTGAGAATAAACATTAATTTTCCTTTGCCAATAATTTCCTGGTTAGGTTTTGGTAACAAAGGCATGGGAGCATTATAAAAGAAGGGAAAATAGTTCCTCCTTTTTCCCCTTCTCTGGTACATTTGACAGAATTAGCTAGTGAAACTGTATAAGTCAGGAGGTGGAAAAGTAGTTGGAGATTCCAAACCTTCCCAAGTAAGCCTAGCCAATGTAGGTTTATATATCAGTTACGTTTACTTAGTTATTATGAGCCCACCTCTGAGAAATAGCTTTATATGTGCTTCTTATATTACTTTTCTCCTGATATTACAAGGTTGAAGGCCAGACTTTTCCATGTAATAAATGCCATATACTCTTTAAATCTTCTTCATCCCTCAGATCCCTGGGAAGAATAAACGTGGCCATGTATCTGACTGATGTTAACTCTATTTTTTTCTCTTTTAATTTTATAGATTAAATTAGCAAAGATATTTCTCCACATAAGTTTTTAGGTAGACCTCATAAGTATGTTGAGGACATTTATATGTATGCATCATTTATTTATAATTAATATTTATGTATAAAGATAAATTTGTGTGTATATTTTATCAGGCATACTTCATAAATTAATCTACTAATAAATACTAAATACCTTCTACATATAGAATAAAATGCCATAGGTTCCCTTATGAATCTATGGGAGAAAAAAATTATGTCCTTAAATTAATATGACTTTGACTTGAGTGTTATACCCAGTTATTAGACAGAAATGTTTATTTCCGACTCAGTTCCATGTAGGGGAATTGCTACTGATACAAACTTCCTGGATTTTACAAGAACTGAATTATCTGATTTGTGGGTTATAAAAACAGAAACTCAATGCTTGGCTCCGCTTTTTTTTTTTCCTTGTGGCTCAGTGCTTCTGCAGAGAGGATGCACTGTCTCTTACCTTCCTGCCATCACTAAAGGAATTAGACTGTAGAGAGTAATGGTAAGGGAAAGTTTGGGTTGGTCCAGCTCTGCCTTAGAGTGGATACATTTAATTTGGAATTCAAATTCAAACGATCACCTATACCATGTCCACAATGTTACTTTCATGAGTAAGAGAGCTACATTTTATGCCTTTCTGATCTTGCATTTCTCTTTCACAGTGTTCTGAACTTGAGAAGGAATTAATATACCTTATTGACACCTCAAATGCTTGTACTCACAGTACTAAAGGTCATCCTGAGCACTTATCAGAATTCCAGAACTCTTAATATTCCACATTCAGGAATATCTCTTCTGACCACCAGGGTCTGGAATCTCTCTCCTGAACACCAGGAGGAAAGACGATAAAAAGGCCTCAAGCAACTGTAAGGCATAACTTCTTCCTCCAGAGTAACCAGGAAGGCCCATCCTGGATGCTTACCCACAGAGCCCACATCATCAACAGAAACTGTGTTATGAAATCTTGAATTGCAAGAATGACATTAAAGAGTTTGAATGAATTACTTGCAAGCCTGGGACAACATTTTCTTGATCAAGCTCCCAGAGTATTACCCTTAACAAGAAAGCTCTTCATTTATTGACTATAATTCTAAAAGCCTCCATCGTTCTTTTAAATCACATGAAACTATTAATGATAGTTTCATTCAATAATGTGCTTCAGTCAAATCAATAAACTATGTAACTTTGATATTTACAAATTTAAATATTAATAGTTAACTTTACCTCTACCATTGTTGTCATCAATCAGTTACTATTTGCAGAAGAGTTAAAACAGGTTAAAGGTCCTGCAAAGGTACAATAACAGAATCTAAGACAAAAATTTAAATTATCTTGCTTGCTACTTCTGGTGAAAAATAATCTGAGCCATTTTGCTATGGTAGGTCACTTCCGCACTTGACCTTAGCCAAAAGGCCGAGAAGCGATGGTAGGTCACTTCTGTAGGAAATGACTTTATTACCTTTGTTGGGATTTTTAAAATGAATACCTTTCTAGCTGTTTCAAAAAGAGAAGACAAGCTTTATTGCTTCCATTTTCCTTACTGCTTGTACAATTATTAGTTAACTTTTTTCTATTATCTAGTTCCTCAAAGTCAGGGTCTACTTTCTTCTATCTTGAGCAGTTCGATTTATGCATTGTTAAAACAAAAGTTACTTATTCATCTTTGTTTCTAACAAGAAATAGGATTGTTTTGAAGATGTGAAAATGTACTTATTTGCTCTGCATATGTTTGCAGTTTAAAAAACAGTTTTTCAGGCTTGCGGAAAACTACCTATTTTAAATGGATAACATTCATAAAACTTAATTTTGAAAGAGAATTTGACAAAAATTCACCTCTTTCAGATTGGTTTGGTGATGAAGGAAGTAGCAGAGGAAGTAGCACAATAAAATTAAAGCAAAGGCATCTTCCCGACTGTAGTAGGCTCAAGGATAAATGTTGAAATATCCCTATTGGGGAACAAAAGCTAAATTTATTACAACATGTTTGGAGGCTCTTATTGAATTTTTGAAAGTAAAAGCAGATAAACCAAATAAGCTCATTTCCATGTACATTATTTTTGTCACCTTCAGGTTTGTGATTGCTGTCCTCATTCACTTCCTTAAAGGTAAAGATTGTGCTAATGGAAAATATTTTGTAGATTATAGCATGTATGTATTTTCAGTTTTTACATTTTTTCCCTAGCTATATATATAAGCAAAAAGAGACACTCAATTTCAAACTGTGCTGTGGCATTACTTTATATCAAGCTCCCATAGGCTAGAGAATGTAAACAAGTACCTGGAGTTACCCCAGTCAGGACCAGGGCCCAAGAGGGATCCTCTGGAGTCAGTTGCATATTTGTAAACCACTAGCAGGCACTGTTTACAAAGCTCAACCAGGCGCTGGCAACACTGGAGCTGCAAAGGAGTCACCACCTCCGGGCTTTTACTGAATATACTCTCCCACGAGGATCTGTTGGCATGGAAACAGACAGGACTTCATGTCTGCTGTTAAAAATGACAACCAGCTGTATCACTTACCTAGCAACAAACTGATAAAGGAAGATGGAAATGGTCACACATATCTGTAGTCACTGTGGATGATTTAAAAGTATGTAATATATGCAAATTATTTTACCTTAACACAAATAATGTACTGCAATTTAGTTTATAACTTCTTTGCACTAGGAGAATTTGGGTTAATCCCTTGATTCTGACCATACCTTTCAAAATGTTCTCAAATGTAATTGTATGCATGATATTCCGAGAGCACTGTTTTCCTCCTCCAGAAGTCATATCCTCTCAGTAAGTACTGACCTACTGCAATCCCAAAGTCAGTGTCCTTCCTTCCTAAGTGCCCTTATTATTCCAGAGAAGGAAGTAACACATACTTCCTCTATAAACCTTAACATGCATGTGCATGTGTGCACTAAGTTTACCTTCATGGCACCTCACCATTTCAGGGAGTGAGAAGAAGGGGAACAGGTGAGGGGAGAAAGAGACAGACAGACAGAGTCGTACAGAGAGACAAAAGAATGAGAATGAGAATGAATATGAATGAGAGAATATGAGATTTTTTTTCCTTAGTGTAAATGAAATTCTTTTCAAGCTCTGAGGGGAAAGTACTTTTGGGCATGGCTCAAATCTCATTTTTACATAAACCAATTCATGCAATCCTCAGGGAGAAAAGAGCAGATTTTTCAGAAAGAAAAGATATTAAGGAAACTATTTTCCTAAAAAAATATTTTCCAATAGGAAATTTAAAGGCTCCACTTTCAAATATTTGTAGATATTTGATATATCTGAATTTTATAAAATGCTTTAGACACTCAGGAAGAATATTTTTACTAGAAGCACTAGTGTTTACATTTTTGGGGGAAACATGATCCCCAAAAGACAGCATCTTATCAGTGAAAGATAGGTTTTCTCAAGGAGTAAGATTCAAATGAGTTAATTGAAAAAAACAAATTTCCTTCTGTGTTGTGAGATATTACGAACTAATTTTTTTCTTAATAAAGAAGTAAAATTTATTTTCACTCAGTAAACAATATTAAATTAACTTAAAATACAATATAAATAAAATATAAACTATCACTAAACATAAGAAAACACTAGATATTATACATTGTTTCCCTAATACAGATTTAAAATTAACTTAAACTGCTTTGACCAAAAAATAACTCAATGAGGGAATGTGTTTATAATTAATATACTGTAACAAAGAAGGCCCTAAATGCCCAAGTTCAAGATATAACCATTTTATGTAAATGTAAATACACAGAGAAAAGGTCTGTGTTTTGAGTTCTGCCTAGTACTTTTCTATTTTCTCCATAAGAACTGTAAGTGCATCTAAAAGCCTACACCTATCACCACCCTCCACTCTCAGTGGAAATGTACTGATCTTTTATACTTTGGAGCTATTGACTATCAGCTCACTTAAATCATGGTAATTGTCTTTATTTAACTTGGGATTTAAAGATAGAAAAAAGTAAAGTGGAAAATGATAAATGGGCTTCAGAGACATTATCATTTGATGTAACTTAATATGCATGTGAGTTTTAATGCCACCAGCTTTGGCTACTCGTTCTCTCAATCTTTGAAAAATATTTACCATATATATGTGAAGAAAAATCCTGTAAATACTTATTTCTTGGATATACATTCACCTGGTGGCAAAAACTACATTCTACTGTTAATCCACATCGAGTGTCAGAGCAAACCAAACCTCTCATGAACACAGAAGACAGAAGATGAACGAGCCCTGCTTCTTCTGCTGCTGGGCCAACGAAGCCCCATCTGCAGGAAAAGAAACCTATGCTGAGGATATCGGCAGTTTCCCCAGCAACTACTCACCACCTGGAATAGACGAGTCCAGGTAAAATCTTTGAAATACATACTATAATATCTCAATGCCAATATTCACAACACAGTGTTTGGTTGCTTTTAAGATAAAAAAGTGAAATTAGCTGAACTAATGTTTTTCTCAAAGAACCTCATGATGAAGAAGGACATACTTTTGGGATATTTGAAAATGATGTGTTTATTTTTCTGGAACAGATTTCACATAGGAGAGTACTGAACGTGAAGACAGAAGAAATAAAAAATAATCAGCATATGATAGAACCTCATACCTATAGATTGTGATAAGGGAAAATCCTCAAGGTTAGGCAATGACCCTAACAAAAAAATATATAAGGGAGACAGAAATGCCTAGAAATCTTTTCATTTCTCTTAGCCCTTCTATCAAGCTCTCCTCTTGTCTGAAATTCTATCATACTTTCTCTATGCCTCTTTTTTAAAATGATTACTTCTGTAGAAACCACATTTTGTCTATTAAAGACATCAGAACATATCAGTTAAGAACATGAACTTTGGGATCAAAGTCAACTGCATTCAAATCCCAGTTCCTCTAGGTCCTTAGTACATACCTGCATGCTGGAGTCCTTATCTATAAGAGGAAAACAGTGTACAACCTGACTCACAGCGATGTTATGAGGACTAAATCACCTAATACATGTAAAGTGGTAAGCAATGCCTGGCACAAAGTATTAAGTAATACATTTAACCAGTATCACTTCTAAGTTTTCTGCAGAGGGCAACAACTGTATCAGATTCAGCTTTGTATTTCCAAAAATATCTAACATAATAATAAATATTTGAAAATTGTTAAAAGAATGAATGAAAAATAATTTAGAGTAGCCACAGTGGGCATGTGACCCCTAAATGAATAGGACTTAGTATATAATTGAATAAAGGCAGTACTGAGGAGAAAGATGCAAGTGCCTCAGAAATATTGCACGCCGGGGTGACTAGAAGAACAACACTACAATTACGGGAAGACAGGAAGGGAAGCCATTTCTGAATAAAAGGACATTAGAATGTTTAGTTTGAGATATCTTGAGGACGGAATGACAATGTCTCACAGCTTTGGCAGCAGTGGAACTCTGGAGAGGAAGAATATATCTATAATTTTAAAAGTCTGCTACATAAAGGAAAGTCAAATAATCTGAAAGATATTGGTTTATAATTGAAATTTTTTCATTAATTAAGAAAACCTTCTCTCCACTGAATTCAAATTAGTTACAAGGTGTTGTGCTCATATTAATCATCTTATCTAAATCAGCTTAATTGTTATAAATTAGAGTTGAGTACTAACAATTACATGAAGAAAAATGAATATTCTAAAACATTATTAAAGAAATTAAACCATTTTATTGGGTTACCTACATAGCTAAATAGTAAAATATTAAAAATTACAATAATAAAAGATGACTTAGAACTTTTTTTTTTTTTTTTGCTTTTTTGAGACAGTGTCTCACTATGTAGTTGAGACTGACCTGGAACTCACAATGTAGTCCAGGCTGGTTTCGAACTTGCAGTGATCCTCCTGCCTCAGCCTCCCAAAACTTACCCTGAATCACAGAAACAATTCCATAGTCCTTGGCCATGACTCCAGAGTAAGCGATTAAAAACCCGGTTGAAAATCCGATATAAGTTTACTTCTTCAACATCAGGTACCTTCCAGATACGTGGAAGAACTGAACGAATACTTGTTTTTACTATGTCCAAAACCTAGTAGAAAAACCAAAGTATTTAAAATCTAGGTATGTATATAATATACACACATGCATGTACCCCATATGCATAAAGAGACTAAACAACAGCATAGAATAAAATGTCCAGAAATAGAGCCATGTACTTATAAAACCTGGTTATATGACAGAGGTGGCAAGTGATACCACTAAAGAACAGAATGTTCAAGGCTGGAGATTTAAAAAATAGTCTTTATGAAAAAAATGGAAGTTGAATTCTTATTTCATTCAACTAATAAAAATAAATTATAGTGGGGCTAACATCTTAAGTACTAAAGTAATAAACCACTACATTTGTTAATGGAAAGTGTGGATAAAAGATTACTGAGGTCACAAAAAGTATAGACTATAAAACATTAATAGATTTGGATTATGTTAAATTAAGAACTTCTGTTCATCAAAAAGATCTTAAAGAAATTCAACACTGCCTTACAAACAGGAAAAATACATTCAAAACATGTACAACTAACAAAAGAGTAACATCAAGGATACATAAAGAATTTCTAGCATATTATTAATATAAACATCTTGGGGGAAAAACAGGCAAAAAGGCATTTCACAAAAGAGGAAATAAATATGCCCAGTAAACGTAAAGAAAAATTAAGGCTATACAGTAAGATATCATTTCACACTCATCTAAATGACAAAAACTGAAAGTATAATACCAAGCATGAGAGAGGATATGGATCTACAGGGTCTTTTAGATGTTGTTGTGATTACAAAGTGGTACACTCACTCTGGAAAACTACTTGACAATACCTGCTGAATTTGAAAATTCATATACCATATATCCCAGCAACTTTATTCCTGAGAGAATCTCTCCATGGAAACAACACAAAGCATGTACAGGACCATTCATTAAGGTGTTCACAATTGTGAGCACCTAGAAACAACCTAACTCTACAAGAATAGAAGTTGGATAAACAGTGGAATACTCACTCCCTTGAGTTACACAGTAGTCAGAATGAACAAAAGATGACATGTAACACTGAGATTCTTGGTAATAATATATAAGCTAAAAAATACATAGAAGAAGTTATATACAGTATGATGATGCTCTTTAACAGAAGTTAATCAAATTATAAGAATATTTTAGAGAAAACAGATGCAATGAAAAGTATAAAGAAAGAAACTCAAGGACTGGTAAATACTGAATTCTAAAGAAATGGTTCTCTGAGACTGAAGATCTGGAATGGAAGCAACCATTAGCTATTATCAAGATCTCAGCTTTAAGTGTTGGGTTCACAGGTAATATAACATTTAAAAGCACTAAGTAGGCCACACGCAGACCAATAAAAAAAGACTATTATGAAATGAGGACTACAAGTGTTCTTGACAACTGAAGTCAGTAAGGTCCTGGAAAATGTGAAAAAAGCTTTATGAGAAAATCTACTTTGTCTCAATCACATGTATTTATTCTTATACAATGCAGGTATTTCCAACAAAACTCTTGAAACAAATTATGCACCAATAAATACAGTTATTTTAATTTTTGCTTATCAAAATGGAATATTTACTTTAAACCTATCTAAATTTTTTTTTGTTTTGGGGTTTCTTGGTTTTTGTTTTTCTTTGGTACTGGGAATCGAACTCGGGTCCTTGCGCTTGCAAGTCAGGCAGCGGAACAACTGAGCTAAATTGCTGGCCCCAAACCTATCTAATTATAATAACTTTGTATAAAAATAAGAATGAAAGATGAAAACAGAAAAAAAAGACTCTCAAACACAAAGGCTTATGGGAATGCATAATTTCTCTCAACACAAACATACCTGAAGTATTGGAAACGGATGAAACAATAATGTTTCTCTTTAAAACATTAATGATGAAGAGCTGGTATTACTTATACTCACTCACAGTTTATTTAGACATCTATTAGATAAAAAAAATTTCCAAAATGACTTTGTTGTTTAGAAGATCATAGTTTCAATGCTGCCCTTTCCGTTCTGTGAGGTGGGAGCAGATATGCAGACTGTACAGTAGGTCAGGACATATAAGGAGACAGGAATGAGCACAGAAGATGCAATCTGTGTTCATGAAAAATGTTGTCCTGCAGAAGCTCATTACTACAGCTAATGAGTGCTTAATTATAAAGAGGAATATTTTAAAAATTTACTATGTATTCAAAATAATATCAATAAAATATGCATATCAGTCATTAACTTATGCCTTTTGCTTTTTTATAATTTTTAAGCTATTAATTTAACTTTCTATATTCTGTAATGTAGAAAGCAGTACTCATGATTGGTGTGAGGTAAGAATCAATGAGGGCAGTGAGAGACAAATTTAGACTATTTTCTTAGTTTTTTTTCAACTTTCTGTCAATATATTAGTGAACTATAACAGGTCAAATGTCATAATTAGAAAAGGAGTTTATGGATTCCCACACAATCTGAAGAATAAATATGAATTACATAAAATAACTGGCACTGAAAAGTGTTAGTAATACTGGGATTCAACATTAAGTTAATCAGTTTTCACATTATATTATAAAAGAATTATTCAACTTAAATATGTTAAAGCATTTGAGATGACGGGGTATTCATTTCTTTTCAGATAAACTTCACATAACTTGTGCACGATTACACAAAGTTAGTAAATAGACAGCTGTATATCCAGACGTGTGCTCTTAGCAGCTTCCTAACACTGCCTTACAACCGGTTTTCTCCAATGCCAATGACACAAGCCTAGAAGAGGACCCAACTGTCTCTTAGATTTAGACTGACCTCTAGACAAATGATATGTGGGAGAGGGGTGGAATCACCGTGTGGCTGGTTAAGCATCCCCTCCTGCCTGGTCTTGAGGTTTAGACTAGTTTGCTACAGTCTAAAAGGCTATACAGGTAGGAAGACAATGACTATAGCCAAACATCCTCTGAATAATTTCAAGAAGGCAGACAACAAACAAGACAGAAGTCAGACTGGAATGAGGTAAATTAGTGTCAGTTCTATTGGTGATGCTTTTTCAGATTCCTGGGGCTTTGGAGTTAGAAAAAATTGTGTGGAAGATGAATAATTTGTGAAACTGGTCAGTAAGGTGCCCTTGTGTTTATCTGTGGACTCCAGTGAGGCTAACTTATAGAATACCGGTGTCCATATCCTTACATATTGACTTTTAAAAGCATCCCAATTCAACATTAAACTCTCCACGGGAAAAAATAAATGGAATAGTTAGGCAATGACAACATTAACAAAATGAAAAGATTTGTCCTTTCCATATGAAATATAGCAAATTTGAAGGCAAAAAACACACAAATTCATATTTTGCAAGAACATACAGATGTTGAATGACAAACTGCTCCATACGGCTGAACAGTTGGTCCTAAATTAAAATAATGGCATGAGGTGACAGCAGTTTAGAAATAACATTAAAATCACTACATGCTGTACTAATGATGCGTACAGCAGCCGTGGCTATAGAGTAAAGGCATCTTTGCTGATGCAAAAAGAACAGCTCTGAACAGCATCTATGTCAGACCAAATGAAAAATAGATGGGAAATGCCAGCACCAAAATGCAGGCAGAAGCAACAAGAGCAGGTATTAAAAAGAAATTACCATGTAGAGAAAAAATGGTGGATAAACAAGGATTTCTTAGAACCCTAAAATAAATGCAAATATAGTACCACTTTCATATAGCTACTGACTTCTCTTCATCCTCCAATCTTAGTTTGTGCCTAGATATCACATCAGAGAATAAGCTTTTCAGCAAATTTGGCATTCTGCATAGCGCACCAGCACTGCTATATTTTCATATTTCATATATATTCCTTACAGACTCTTTAAAGCAACTGCATTCTTGGCAGAGAGTTAAATTATACAAGTGTGGATTTACCATAACGTGACGTTAAATAAGATTAACTATTTCCATTTTCACCTGGTGAGGCTCTTTTCAAGATTAATTCTCATACCCTTGATCTCTATATTTTATACCCATTAAGGAAAATGTGAAGTAAGGCAAATAATATTCTTTTATTTTCAAGAACACACATACAAAAGAAAGCACTGGGAGACTTTGTGTGTATGGCATCCTAATCTTAAAGTTTTACAACATACTAATGTTCAATCAGTAAAAGCCTCCATTCTGGAACAGAAAAAGCATATGTATTTCAAAAGTGGTCTATGAATGGAATTAGGATGTGCATTCTATACCTAGAGTAGTGCTTGAGACATAATAATCCCTCAATAAATATCTGTCGAATGCATGTTTGAGTGAGCAAATAAATAAATGAACTCTTAAAGTTCCCAACAGTGCCCAGCACAGTTTTTGTACAAAACTGGCAACCAAAAATTGTTTGCCAAATTAAAGTGAATCAACACAGACTTTGTAGCAGCCATGGAGATATGCCACATAACCTGCTTTAAAGAGTGCAGTTAGTTGATGTTTTCCTATTAGAGATCTACTATAATATCAAGCTACTCTTAAACAGACTGCTCATGGCCAAGAACTGAGTACAGTTGAGAGACCAGTAAGGCCTATTTCCTCCCAGTATGATTCCCTTTAGCAGGCTGACTTTGCCCTGGGCTCATCAGCCTTAGCAAGGTAAGACTTCAGCTTAACTGAAGTGTGAGGCTCTTGCTATCCATGCTCCTCTCTTCCACTCACAGGGGTCAGATCTGCTCTGTGGTCCTATTTCCCCCACTCTGTGCCTCTTGTGGGTGTTTGCCCATATAAATCTCTTTCACTTTTACAGTGTCTACTTTCTAGGGCACCAAAATGGCAAAGCTTCTCAATGATTACTATTTTCATAGCCAAAAGAAGGGCAGATCTTATTAATCCATGTCTACTGTATATTAATTAAGTCCTTGGCTTTCTAAATAGGTGTCTCTTTGTAATATCTAATTGTGCATTCCATGGATGACCTACATTTATATGTTTTTGTTGTCTCGCATGCATTTTCTAGATTTATAAGGAAATTGCACAAGTTTTCATGTTATAGTCAAATAAAAGGTCAATATGTTATAAACCAATGAGCCATATTTATC